GCACCTTGGAGGCCACTGCGTCCACACGGGATGCCATGCGGAGCCAGTTCACACCTTCATTCTTCTTGCGGATGGCATTCTCGGCATACACACGTGCACACTCCACGTTCTTCTGCTGAAGGGCCTGAAATTCGCAGGATGCACGAGCTGGGGGAACGTGGCTGTTCTATGAACAGCCTGGTCCTGGCTTCTCCCAGGCCGAGATCTGCTAGCACGGGACAGCCCCTTTGGCTTGTGAGCTTCATGAAAACGCTGCAATGCCAGGCCCCCGGCCTGTTCAGGACCTAGGGTGTCCAGGCAGGGTGCCAGACCAGCCCGGGCTGGGGGCTACATAGGAGACCTGGTCCCAGGGACACAGCCGCCTCTCCCCTCCAGCCGCACACCCTCTTCAGTCTCTTCAGCTGCCCGCACCACAGGAGCTCACAAAAACCACCGAGGCAAATGCCGACCCAAAGCAAGCAGGACCGTGGAGGAAGATGAAGGAGCTGACTGGGGTCAGTCCCCCAGTTTCCCTTCTGCCCTGGGAGTGCCAGTTTGGGCGAGGGGGTCACCAAATTCTAACACTCCCAGGAGCCAGCCCACACAAGCAACAGCTGTCTGGAAGTCCCCACTGAGAGCAGCCAGAGCCTGCCTCCCCCCACCTCCCCTCTGCCCAGGTTCTGAAGCCTGAGGCGCGTGCTATGCAAGGAAGAGAGCAGGAAGGGACGGGGTCGCAGCAGGGACGGCTGGAAGCCCACAGCCCACATACTTTGTGAAAAATGCACGTTCAGAACTTTGGAAGTGAACAAAAGGCATGGATGTTCCATGAAAAGAGCAAGGGCGATACACAGTTCTTTTGCTCTGGACGCCCCTTAGTGGGCAGGGAGGCAGCGGGGGGGCCACCGCAGGCCCTGAGCAGGCTCCTGAGAGAACACCCAGGGCCAGAGTCGTGGGGCGCCCCTCACACAAAAAGAAGACGCCAGAACAATGCAACAGAAGCCCCAGAAGCAAGGGACGCGGCCTGGGCGTGGCGCAGCCTCACCTTCTTCACTTTGGCCTGCTCCGCCTTGGAGTCCTTGTCTGCCTTCTTGGCCAGCTTCTCCAGCTGCTTTGCCGTGAACTGAGCAGAATCGGGACACTCAGGTCAGACACACACACAGCCCGTCCTTTGGTACCCCCCCACCCTCCTCAGCACCCCCTGCACCGACTGCACAGAGAAGGTGCCCAGCCTGCCAGTGTCCTCATGGCCCTGGGCTGCATGGAGGGAGCTCCCTGGGTCTCTGAGGCTCAGGGGACAGGGAGGGCTGTGAGGGTCTCCTAAAATGTCCTAACCCAGAATGCCTAACCCAAAGCCTCCCCCAGAGTGGAAAGTTAAAAAGCCAACTCACACAGGGGCGCCTGGGCAGCTCAGTCGGTGAAGCATCTGCCTTTGGCCCAGGTTCTGATCTCAGGGTCTTGGGATGGGGCCCCACATCGGGCTCTCTGCTCAGTGGGGAGCCTGCTTCTCCCTCTGCCCCTCCCCCCACGCACTGGCTCATGAACTCTCTCTCAAGGGAGTAAAATCTTTAAAAAAAAAAAAAAGCCAACTCACACAATCACTACTACTTACAGATTTTCTTTCTTTCCTTTTTTAAAGATCCATTTATTCATGAGAGACAGAGTGGGCAGGCGCAAGGGGGAGGGGCAGAGAGAATCTCAAGCAGACTCCCCGCTAAGCACAGAGCACAACATGGGGCTTGAACTCAGGACCCTGAGATCAAGACCTGAGCCAAAACCAAGACTGAGCCACCCCTACTTAATGGATTTTCAACTTTCGGGAAAAACTCGACAGGATCTGTTTCAGGTGACCCAAGTGGTAATACAGAATTCCCGATGAACATACACCTCAAAGTGTTCTCTTCACAGAACATTGTGTTTGTGAGGGGCTGCTGGGCAGTGCATGTTCCCAGGCCTGGTCGGAGTGGTCCCCACGGCAGCTCCCCCGAAAAGGCCTCATTTAACCAGGAAGCTGGCAGGAGAGAATGCTCAGATAACCCAAGTGAAAGAGCGACCTTCCAGAGGCCCATATAGCTTCCTGGCTGGTGGTGTTCCGGTGTTCCCTCAGCCTGAAACACCCGCCTGACTGGGACTCCCCCTCCCTGCCCCTCAGCACCCCCCCAACTTGGGACTTTCTGTCACATAGGAAGGGCTTCTTGTTAGCCTACCTCACACTCCTACGTTCTTTTTTTAAATATATTTGTCAGAGAGAGAGAGAGGGAGAGCACGAGGGATGTGAAGGGCAGAGGGAGGAGACTCCCCGCTGAGCAGGGAGCCTGATGTGGGACTCGATCCCAGGACCCTGGGATCATGACCTGAGCCGAAAGCAGGTGCTTAACGACTGAGCCACCCAGGCACCCCTTCCTACATTCCTTCAGGGGAAAAATCCAGGTTTTCCTGACCCAGGAATCTGGCCCTGAGCACCTTCCACAAGGTGGAAGCTTGCTGAACAAAGTGCCTGGGGCCTCCCGGTATTCCCTGCCCTTCCTCTCCATTGAAAAGCCAGTGTGATGAACTACGGTTAGCAGCTCGGGCACATCACTCCCGCCCACTCTTTCAGAACTAACCATGGATGATTAACTATGGAGGCATTTAAGGGAAATGCAGCAGAAGCTTGGCCTGGATTAATTATAAGAGGCATGCTCCGCTGCTCAGAACACTCTCCTTCAACATGATTTTGAAGAATTTAAAACCAGTTTTAAATGCCTAGTGGAACTTCAAGGGATGCACCTAATACCCAAGCTGTGTTTCTTGAAGATAACAGGCTCACTCCCTCATGGACAAGCCCATGTGATCTGCTTCTGCTCAGCCCAAGACAAGGAAAGGATTAATGTGCCGTCAAGCCAACTCAATAACCTCCCCTTTGTCATCAGTCCGAAAGAGCACTGCGCAGAAATCACACAATTGGTAATCCGTGCTTCTGAGTGTGACTGACACCATTTGTCCTCATTTGCTAATCACCAAGACAGGGTTGGGGTGAAAGGTCCTTCAGTACATACCTTCAACTGGAACAGGGTATCTGCAAAGAAAGGAGATGGTTTGAGGATTTCAACTGTGACAAGTGGCACTTCTAACAAGCACATGGGGCCACTAAGACCCTCCTCGACACAGAGAGTTGGAACAGGATGCAGGCATGGATGGGGCCCTCAGGGAGGCCCACCGCAAACTGGAGGCAGAAGATGGGCTCGTGCACCAGTTCTGCTCCCTCATCAGTCAGAAGACAAATGTAGAGGCTCCAGAACCTCTGATTCCTTACAGGTGATACCAGGGTGGTACCAGCTGACCTCAAGGATTAGTGTGCAGACAAAACAGATCATGGATGCAGCACGTGGCCCACAGCGAAACCCTGAGTGGTGGTTTGTAATTATGGCAACTTTACAAAGGCCCTTGGGATTCTTTCCCAATTTAATAAAGCTCAGCATTGGACAATCTGTATTTTATATACTCTTTCTCCCCAAAAGTAACTGGATAAAAGTAGCAAGATGAGGACTCCTGTGCTATCAAAGACCTGACCCACAGAGACCACGCTCCATGGCATCTGGCAAGTCTGAGCCATCAAATCGGGCTCAGGAGCCTACCTGTCCACATGGAGGAACCAAAGAGACTTGAGAGTATTAAGAGCTAACTCTCCGGATAGCCACACTTGCTACTCACTCACCAAAACTCAAGAGCCGGGTAGATCCAGATTCACATTTAAACTATCTCAATTTATTCCATTTTTAAATGTGCAGAATGATGTCTGGAAGGGTTTACCACACCAGCCCAGAATTAGGAAACTGAAATCTGTAACCAGGATGAGGGTGTGTTCACAAATGCAAATCAAGACACCCCCCCCCCGGGGGGCTGAGAGCCTTGGGGTTTCAGGCACGCCCCGGGCGAGCCCTGTCAAGGCCAAAGCCGGCTGTGGAATCTGTAAATCAGGGCTAACTGGACACAGCTGACAGGCAGAGTGCCTCCCGCAGGGAAAACAAGGCGCGGTGTGGCCAGCTCTCCACTTTACGGTGTGACTTAAGTCACCGTCTCGCCCTGCCTCGGCTTTCTCCTCTCTGCCCGGGCAGCGGGAATAGACTCTCAAGAGCAAAGAGCTGTTAGGGCAAAACCTAACCCTGGAAAAGAGTGATAACGGCCAAAAGAGAATCACCAAACTGCGGAGTAGAACCCAACATCCGCGGTGGGGGTGTGGTGCTGTTCATCCGCTCTCTGAGCGAGCTGTACGGGACTTCCTTCGTGACGACGACGGCTGTCCGGCTCCTTACGTTTCACAAAGTGACTTTCAAAACCTCTCGCCCACACCAGCCCTCGCGCATTCCAGCGAGCGCAGGGACCTCACTTGGGGAGCCACCCTTCCTTTCTTTGGCGTCCCTGGCGCGGAGCGGGGCCGAGCGGGCGCCGCAGGCGGCGGAGGCCAAGGCTAGGGAGCTCAAGCTCTAGCTCGGCTTCCCCGCCCGCAGAAGGGGGCATCAGGCTCCCACCCCACACGCACAACCGTGCCGCGCACGTAGTAGGGCGACGCGAGCGCTTCTTACTCTTCTCAGTGGTGTTCTGGGGACAGGGGTGCAACCGCCTCCTTTTCCGGTGCCCTCTGACCGGACCTCCCAGTGCCCCAAAGGTCGACGTCCCTCGGCGGGACAGAACCGGGGGCGTGGGGGGCGGATGCTGAGGAGTCTGGTGAAGGGGGCGAGGGTCCGGCATCGAGGATGAGGACCGGGGTCCGGGTCCCCGATCGAGCACCGCGGGTCCCGCCCTCCCCCGGCGGGCGGGGTCCCTTACCGTCCATGGCCGGTCCGGCAGCGGCAGCACTCGCAGGAACGGACGCGCAGGACCCCGGGGCCGAGTCGATCGCCCCTACCAGCTCCGCCGCGCGGGAACTTCCGGGGTCACCTCCCACTTCCGGCGAGCGGCAACTCTCGCGAGAGCACGGCGCTGGTCGCGCGGGCGGGGCGTTGCCGTGGCGACCCGCGCCGCTGGGCCCCGGGACCCTCTGTGTGTCACTCGGGCTGTGGGCCCGCGGAGGTGCCGAGTGCCGAGCTGCGCCGGCGGGGGCGGTGGGCTCACCTATGGGACTTTCCAAAAGCAAACACAAATCCAGGAAAGGTAAAGGAGCGCCTGCCCGCCGTCTCCTCGGCCGCGTGGCCACGGTTCGCGCGGGGCTGCGGGGGTGCTGGGCGCCCTGCCCGTCCGCCCTGCGCCGGAGTCCTCCCCGATGACCGTGCCTCGGGGGTCTTTTCACGCATGTTCAGAGAAATGGAAGTGGCGCTCTGGACCACAGCTGGCAACCGGAGGGTGGGGACCCATGGCTCTAGCCTCAGGAAAATAATACGACTAATTCACTGTCCATGGATTTCAGGTGAGGAGAAAAAGAAGGGGCGCAGGTCTTCCCCTGCAAAGACTAAGGAAAGGTCGATGGACAGGCGTTCTCGAGAGACCGAGAGGCCTCCAGACACCAAGGCTGCAGAGAGCTTCCAAGGGAAGAAGGGGGCAGCCAAGCGACAGTGGCCTCCTTCATCTGAAGTCGAAGGTAGGACATGCCCAGGACCGGATGGAACCCGAAGCCAGGAGTTTGGGGGTGGGATACTAATGGTAGGGGCTCTAGGACCTCTGTCTAGGAGGTAAATATCCAGGATTGTAGGTGGAAAATGTATCACAAAATGGGATAGGCGCCCAGCGGGTAGTCAAGAGGGGCTGCGCGGTGTACAGCTACAGAGCGCACTCCCCGATCCTTCAACGTTCCGCGGACCGGGACAGCAGCGAGGAAGGCTGCTTCAGTCTGGAGTACAATCGTGTAAGAAGGGATGTGGGGGCCCCTGCCTGGGCACGGGGATCAGAGGGGCTAGAACGTTGGTGGGACAAAGGGGTTGAACAGTTTGGCAAATTTATTCACTTTGTTTACAGCCCAGGTGGCTAGACCTTTGCACGTAGGTGGCGGGGGAGATGAGGCCACAGAAGCAGCGGAATAGGAAACCTTTCATCTGTTTTGTCCTGTGCGTTGTGGAAATTGAACTGTTAAAACAAGGGAGGTGTGATGGGGTTTGTGCCTTGGAAAACTGTTTCTTTAGAATAGAGGCTGTTGGGGGCAGTGAGGGGACGGGTCCTAGGCCCAAGGCTGCAACTGAGTAGGAGCTAATGAAGCACGGGCAGTAGGAATTCCAAAAGGGTCCAGGACGTAGAAACAGAACTTGCTGTTGGATGAGTTGTGGGAGGTCCAGGGCCATGAGTTTCACTGACCATGAGAATGGATGGTCAGTGGATCAGCCAATGTCAGGAGGAATGCTGGCCTGGCAGGGAGAGAGGAGCTGGGTGCAGGCTCAGATTGAGGCACCTGTGAGGTCATCAAGGGCAGGAAGCTGTTTGAAACGAGGGTGTTGGGCTTGGGAGCAAGGCCTGGACTTCAGATCCTGACGTACACATCCTTGCTTAAGAGTGGAAGACTGCAGGAAGGGCCAGAGTCCTGGGGAGGTTTGGAGAATGCTACCAGTCTGTCAGGAGCCTTCTGGCCGCAAGCCACACAACAGCCAACAAGATACGGCTTTACTGCTGAGCACTTCAATGTCCCCCAAATAAAGGGTCAGAGGCGGGCACTCAGGGTGGCTTGCTCAGCAGCGTGCAGTGACATCAAGGACTTTGGGTCTACACTTTTGCCACCCTCAGTATCCATGGTCCCGAGACAGCTGGATGGCTCTAGGTGTCACATGCGTACAGGACTGCTGTCCCGTCCCTTCCCCTGCTGGACCTAACTTGCCCAACATTGCTAGGATGGGCTCAAATGTGAAAATTCTGGGGCTGGACCTCTATCAGTAAGGGCAGGTGTGGGGGGGGGGGGGTGCCTGCTGGATAGGCACAAATAGTGTCTGTCACACCCTCATTTCAGAGGGTAGAGAGAAGTTGGACATAGAGGGGAAAGGTCAGAGAGTAAGAGTGAGGATGGACTTTCAAAGAAGGTGAAGAGTGTGGTTTCTCCATATAAGGAAACACCTCAGCAATAACACAGAGCAAGCTACTGCCACATGCTCTAGTACCATGAAGGAGTTCCCAAATCCTGGTACTCCAGCGAAAGAAGCCAGATGTAAAGACCACATATATTATTGTTCCATTTATACGAAATGTCCAGAAAAGGCAAATTTATATAAAGGGAAGCTTGGACTAAGGGTGGGAACAGAGTAGCCACAAATGGGCAGAAGAGGTCTTCTGAAGGTGATGGAAATGTTCTTAAAACTGCATCGATGGGCGTCCAGCTCTGAAAGTTTGCTAAAAATCATTGAATGGTATGCTTTAAACAGGTGGTATGTAAATTAGAATGCAACAAAGCTGTTAAAAAAGAAAGAAGGTAATAAAAAAAACTCTCAAAGAAAGAAGGTAAAATAGTCGACAGTGTTGTATGTTGCAAAGAGATTGAGTAAACCCAGAAAAGACCAAACCCAGAAAAGACCACTGAATAAGGCGAGTCGCTGGTCTTGGTGGCCTTGCAGAGAGCACAAGCCAACAATCAGAAGTGAAGACAGACACATGGTCTGCCAGGTAGAATATTTAAACGAGGGCAAGAGCATCCTCTCTTAAGCTGAAAAATTTCCTTATTAGATTTGGAAAAGGTAGGATTTTTGGAAGTCAGTTTCCTTCAAATAACCTAGTACCATAGAAGCCTTAGAGGAATGCAGAGTCCTGATGGGTCAAACCTTCTGTGCATTACATAATAAAAGTAGGTATTACTACTGTGGGACAGAAATCAGAAAGTTCTTCTGGGGTTGGGGAGGGGGAGACTAGCTGACTGGAGGACTCTGTAAGGTGATAAAGTTCTGCATCTTGTTTGGGTGATTACAAAGGTGCGTACAATTGTGAAAACTCATCCAGCTGAACATGTTAAGAACTGTGCATTTTATCTTGTGTGAATTGTGCCTCAAAAAGCTTGGAAGACAAGTCCTTGTCTCTTAGAGCTGCACCCAAAATACTTAAGTATAAATCGACGTGACTGATGGAGATGGTATCTGAGATTCGTTGCAAAGTGAACGAGCATAGTGTGGCTGAGGGCATTTCCCAAAGGCAGCCACCACTCTGCCTCTCCCTCTCGTTCCACCGTGCGGCCTTGGTGCTCCTCCCACCGGGGGAGTCTGTACCCTCTCTCAAATCTCTGCAAGCTTGACATTTTCTTGTAACCAGTAGAATGTGGTGAAAACGGTTTCTGAGGCTGGGCCATGACCGGCGATGCAGTCCTGCCTTGCTCACGGGAACCCAGGCTGGTGCTTGGAACTGAGAGCTGCCACATCGTGCTGTCAAGAAGCTCAGCCACCTGGGGAGGCCATGTGGGGGTACTGCAGTCACCAGTCCTGATCGCTAACTGCCTTCCAGCCCAAGTGCCAGACTTGTGAGTGGACAAACCTTTAGGTGATTCTAGCCCCTGGCCTTTGAGTCTTCCCAGCTGAGCCACAGGACCCCATGTAGCAGCAGTGGCGGTGACCAGCCCTGTGAGTGGCCATCTTGCACGTCCAGCACAGTGGAGCCTTCCAAGAACTGCAGCTCCAGACAACACTCACCTGTAGCCATCTGGGGACCATGAGTGATAGCTGCCTAGTCAAACCTGTCCTGAATTCCCGACCCTTAAAATTGTGAGAAAATAAAACCATTGTTTTAAGCTAATAAAGTTTGGGGTAAGTGGTTATACAGCAGTAGTAACCAGAACAGAGGCTAAGTGCTGGGCAGAGATAAAGTTTGACTGTGGGTTTTAACTGTGTGATGGGGTATATCATCTTGTCTCACTACTTACGTATATGCTTAAAATTTTGCATTACAAAATCCACATACATACATTATAGAGATTAATACGCCACAGATTTGCAATCAGCCAGTTCCAAAATGCTGGAAATCCTATTGAAAAAGAAGACCCTAATTTTTCTACAAATAAATGACATCAGGGTGCATGGGTGGCTCAGTCGGTTGAGCATCTGACTCTTTTTTTTTTTTTTTTTAAGATTTTATTTATTTGAGAGAGAGAATGAGATAGAGAGAGAGAGCATGAGACCGGGGAGGGTCAGAGGGAGAAGCAGACTCCCTGCTGAGCAGGGAGCCCGATGCGGGACTTGATCCCGGGACTCCAGGATCATGACCTGAGCTGAAGGCAGTCGCTTAACCAACTGAGCCACCCAGGCGCCCAAGCATCTGACTCTTGATTTCAGTTCAGGTCATGATCTTAGGGTTGTGAGATCAAGCCCTTTGTCGGGCTCTGTGCTGGGTGTGGAGTCTGCTTAAGATTCTCTCTCTCTCCCTCTGCCCTTCCCTGTCCTCCAAAAAATTTTTTTAAAAATGACATGAAAAAAAGGAGGGTGTCTTAGTCTGGTTGGGCTGCTATAACAAAATACCATACACTGGGTAGCTTCACAGACATTTATTTGTCATAATCCTCGAGGCTGAGGAGTCCCACAACCTGGGTACCATGATTTGGTTCCTGAGAGGACCCCTTCTTGGCCTGCAAACAGCCATCTAATTGCTGTGTCTTCACATGGCTAAAGGGAGAGGAATATGGTCTCTTCCTCCTACTGTAAGGGCACTGATCCCATCATGGGGGCTCTACCCTATGACCTCAATTCAACCTGATCACCTCTCAAAATCCCCACCTCCAAATACCATCCCACTGGGGATGAGGGCTTCAACACATGACTTTTGGGGGGATACAAACATTCAGTCCATAGCAGAGAGGACTGTATAAGATTTGAGGGACCTAGGTGCCACAAATATAGTATAGGCCTGGGCTAAGTCATTCTTGAGATAACTAAATTGGGTATTAGATAATAATACAGAATCAATGGTAGTTTTCTTAGATGTAACAAGGCTATTGTGATGCTAAAACAATCCTTTTTTGATAGAGCTCTATATTGCATTACTTATGGGTAAAATTATGTCTGAGATTTGCTTGAAAATACTCAAAAAAACTGAGGAAGATAGAAAAAACAAGGTGACAAAATATTGATTGAAGCTGAGTGATGCATATATGGGTATCCTATTTTCATGTATGTCTGAATATTTCCATAGTTTTTTTGAAGGTAGAATGTGATTATTTGCAATAAATTTTTGAAAAAGAAGAGAAACTTAAGGAACATTTGTTTCTCAGCTACTAAAAATATACTGAGTGAAAAAAGTCAAGTTCAAAAGGTCACATGCTGCAGGACTCCATATATATAATGTCCTCCAGGTGACAAAATTATAGAGATGGGAGAACAGACCCGTGGTTGCCAGGAGTCAGGGATGGCAGGGAGTGGGGAGGTTGCAGGGGGAGAAGGGTGTAGCTATTAAGACACAGCGAGAAGGAGGTCCTTGTGGTGATGGAACAGTTCTGTACCTTGATCTTAGTGATGTTTACATGGGATTAAACAGCATAGAACACACATTGTGCCAAAATCAATGTCTTGGTGTTGTTATATTGTACTGTAGTTACGTAAGATGTTACCATTGGGACCACTGGGCGAAACTGGGCGAGCGTATATGGGACTTCTCTGTACTTTTGCAACTTTCTGTGAATTTGTCACTTCAAAATTAAAAGTTTAAAAATTTATCAAAATTGGGGCACCTGGCTGGCTCAGTTGGTAGGCTCAAGTTGTGATCTCAGGGTCCTGAGATGGAGCTCCAAGTCGGGCTCCGCACTCAGCAGGGAGTCTGCCTGAGGATTCTCTCCCTCTCCTCCAACCCCCATCCCCTGCTCATGCACTCCCTCTCAAATAAAAATGTGTGACTCTTGATCTCAGGGTTGTGAGTTTGAGCCCCACGTTGGGTGTAGAGATTACTTAATAAAGTCTTTTTAAAAATCTATCAAAATTTATAATAATTAAAATAATGTAGGTCCAGTATAATATTGGATCAATGCAGGGTGCATGGGTGGCTCAGTCGGTTAAGCGTCTGACTTCGGCTCAGGTCATGACCCTAGTGTCCTGGGATCCTGGGATCAAGCCCGAGTTGGGCTCTGTGCTCGCTCACTCTCAAATAAATAAATAAAATCTTAAAGAAAATACATCAATGAAATAGAAAATATGGACAAAAATAAACCCTTACTATGTACGTGTGTTTGTGTGTAATTAGCATGTAATAAAACTAGTACCAAGATGAAGTGGCAAAGGGAGGATTATACAATACATTCTAGGAAAATTGCTTAACATTTTAAGAGAAAGTTCAAGTTGAATTTTAACCTCCTGCCATATGCTCAAATTCCAGATGAGTACAAGTGAATATAAGAGGTGACTATAGGGGCGCCTGGGTGGCTCAGTCGGTGAAGCGTCTGCCTTTGGCTCAGGTCATGATCTCAGGGTCCTAGGACTGAGCCCCATGTTGGGCTCCCTGCTCAACAGGGGGTCTGCTTCTCCCTCTGCCCCTCCCCCACCCCACTGTGCTCTCTTGCTCACTCTCTGATAAATACATAAAATCTTAAAAAAAAGTGACTGCAAAAAGTAAGATGTACATTTTAATGTGAGTCCTCAGTAGGGACCATCCTTCTAAGCCTCAAAACAAAGACACTGCAAAGATATATTGAAGGATTTGACTACATTAACAAGTAAAACAAGGGGAGCCATCTGCAGTATGATCATGAAGGGGAAATCTCAACATGCAAAAAGCTCTCACACACCAGAAAGGTCAAAGTACAAAATGAGGAAAGAATATGACATGTGTTCACAGGAAAATAAATACCACTGGGCCATGACCAAGCAAAAAGATGCTCAACCTCCCCATACTGGGGTAAAGCTTTAGGGAAGTTGAAGGTGACCAGTGGGGGCAGAAGTCAATACTTCCATTTTCATATAACATGGGAAAAGATTTAGCAAACTGACAATTAGGGGAAGATATGGAGAAATGTCCTATTTACACAAATTCTTAGTGGAAATATATATGTATATGTATATATATATATATTTTAAAGATTTTATTTATTTATTAGAGAGAGAGAGACAGCGAGAGAGGGAACACAAGCAGGGGGAGCGGGAGAGGGAGAAGCAGGCTTCCCGCAGAGCAGGGAGCCCGATGCGAGGCTCGATCCCAGGACCCCGGGACCATGACCCGAGCCGAAGGCAGACACCCAACGGCTGAGCCACCCAGGCGCCCCAGTGGAAATATATATTGATATAATCTTTATGAAAAACAGTCTGACAATATTTGCCAAAATCCTCCTTCTAGTAACTTACCCAATAAACCCTCACAAATGTGTAAATATATAAATGCAAGAATGTTAACTATAGCATCACTTGAAAAATATAAAAATTGGAAATAACCTAAATTATGTTCATTCAAAGGAGCTGGTAATGTAATGGATGGGTTCCCAGATAGTGGAGTCCATGCTGCCATGGAAGGGACCAACTTGTATGCACAGACACGGAGCTCAGCCAAGCCATAATGTGATCCTAAATGCATCACACTGTGCATGCACATATGAAATGTCTGGAAGGAAAGAATCCTCCCATACGCAATTTTTAATTGTATATTATTTTTTAAATCAAATATTCATAGCCTTTTAGTCTTAACATATAAAAGTATATATAAATTAATGTAAAAAATGAACCCCCAATTTAAATTAAATGCAAAATATGAAATGCAGTTTTTGACTTAACGATAAAAATAAAAAGGACACTCCCAGGCGCCTGGGTGGCTCAGTTGGTTAAGCGACTGCCTTCGGCTCAGGTCATGATCCTGGAGTCCCGGGATCGAGTCCCACATCGGGCTCCCGGCTCAGCGGGGAGTCTGCTTCTCCCTCTGACCCTCTACCCTCTCCTGCTGTTTCTCACTCTCTCTCTCAAATAAATAAATAAAATCTTTAAAAAAAAAAAAAAAAAGGACACTCCCAGTGCCTACTGCAGGCCCTGGGTCATTCACTGGTAGTTAAAACAACCAAAGCTGTGGACGTGGCAATGAAGATGGACAGAGCTACGGGCCCAGCATCGCCCTCTACCACCCGCTTCGAGCCAATGACCTCTCTGTACCTCAGTACCTTCGTCTGTAAAACGTAGGTCAGAAGAGGGCCTACTTCAGGAAGCACTGTGGGTTGGTGTTCACTGTCATTACTCTAGGCTCAGAATGATGTCTGACGGAGAACGAGCAATGATTCCCTGTGCCCCCAGGTAGCCGGGTTCATGAGGTATTTTAGGTGGAGCACAAAGCACCCTGAAAAACAGTGGGACCAGCGTGATAGCATGTTTATAACAATCATGTGACAATGTGATTATTCTAACTCTACTTGCATGCATATGTGCACAGAGAGAGAGCCCTCTCTGCAGTGCTTGAAGAGAGGCCTGAAAGGCGGTGCCTCCAACCTTGAAACCCCGGGGGCGCAGGCTGGGAGATGCAGCAGGGGAGGCGTGAGGGCACTTCTGCTTATGTATTTTGTAACATCTGGCAAACTTGGCATTTCACAAGTCCTATGCAATCCTTGTAACCTTAAGAAAATGTTGTGACCCGTATCAGAAATGTTAATTCTTGGGCACCTGGGTGGCTCAGTTGGTTGAGTGACTGCCTTCGGCTCAGGTCATGATCCTGGAGTCCCGGGATCGAGTCCTGCATCGGGCTCCCTGCTCGGCGGGGAGTCTGCTTCTCCCTCTGACCCTCTTCCCTCTCGTGCTCTCTGTCTCTCATTCTCTCTCAAATAAATAAAATCTTTTTTAAAAAAAAAAGAAATGTTAATTCTTGAGGCGCCTGGGTGGCTCAGTCAGTTGAGCGTCTGACTCCTGGTTTTGGCTCAGGTCGTGATCTCAGGGTCGTGAGATTAAGCCCCATGTCAGGCTCCACACTCAGCGAGGAGTCTGGTTGAGGATTCTCTCTCTCTCTCTCTCCCTCTCTGCCCCTCCCTCTGCTCACACTCGCTCTCTAAAGAAGAAATGTTAATTCTTCCGCATTCTGATTGATATGGTTCTATACAGAGAGGGGTTATTTTTGCGGGGGGGTTACCAGATTTAGAACCCTTTAAAAACTGTGTATCTGAACCTTCACCTCTGGGGCAGACCCTGCCTCTTCTCTCTCCATTCCCTTTCCTTCTACGTCTGTCACACAAGCTGGCCGGCAGCTCAGTCTCTCCACAGTGGATGGCAGAAGTGTGTCTCCCCCTTTCTTCCCTGAAAGAGGGTGCCTAGCATTCACCACCCTCATGCCTGAGTTGTCAATTGGTTAAAGGTCCGGAACACACATTTACTGTTTTGACTGCTTTCAACCTTGCCCACTTCTCTTCCTGAACTACACATCTAATTCTTTTGCTTTGGCCCTAACACATGCATTGTCTGCCTTAGAGAAGAGCTTTTCCACAGACACGTTAAATACCTGGATGTTTTCTTCCTTCTAGAGAAACCTGATGTAAAGGTAAAGGCGAGCAAGAAGAAAGCTGCCATTCCACAGATCATCATCACTAGAGCCTCAAAAGAGACTCTAGCCAGCTACAGTTCCATCGGAAGTGAAGAGCAGAGAATCATTAAGGAGCAGGTGGAATGGGGCCCCTACTCCCGACACAGAAACCCCAGTACAGTAGACGCCTATGGTTTACGAGAATAAACAAGCACCCCGAGTAGCTGGCATTATTCACTGTGCTCTGAGTCTCAGCGATGATGGCAGAAGGGCCATCCTGCCCTGTGGGAAGCTGCAGTTACCCCTTCAGTAAATGAGGTTCCCCCAGTGACCACCTTGGTCTTCCCTTCCCCAGAGCTGCAGGCAGCTTGGCAGAGGGCAACAGTGACTCTGGCTCAGAGACTGAACTTCGTGGTAGTAAGTGAATCGGTATACCTGTGTTGTAACTGGCTGTGCAGGGCGACGAACCAGTGGCCGGCGGCATCTCTCTTTCTTGGTGGGCAGTTAAAGTCCTGCCCGTCCACTTCTGAAGTGTGGTGTAAGTACTTGGCAATTATAGCGAATGAGAGGTCCCCCACACTTGGAAGAAGGCTGGACTCTGAGGACTCACTTTCAACGCATCAAATCCCAGAACAGTAAAGTACAAAGTACCCGGGGGGGGGGGGGCAAGGACTCCTACCCTGACTGTAACTTGACGCAGAGTATTAAAGGGTCCAGAGAAGAATGCGGAATTGGGGCAGGGGCCAGACATGGCACTGAGAACTCTGGCAGTGGCCTTGTCAGAGCTACTGCGGGAGGAGGGGAGTTGCGATGACAACTTCCTATCTTCCCGGCTTTCAGGGGACCCCTGCTGGCACTCCACCCTCCCCAGCAGCTCACGCGTGAGGCTCCACTCTCCTCCAGAGTGGCTGGAGAGAACGCCCTGCCCGGTCTGGCAACACAGTATGTGTCGGCTTCCTTGGTTCCTAAAAGGTCAGCAGGCTTAACACTTGGTCTTTATGTCTCTATCTATTGAGGAGAATCATATTCTTTCAGTATTAAATAGTTCCACCGACTTCCAATCAGTTTCAGTATAACCCCAAAAATAATGAATTTCATTTTGGCATTGATTAGGAGCACGTTACCAGCATCATTACTTGTATTCACTCAATACATTTACTTACCCATCCTGACTCACAACTATGTGTACCGAAAAATCAAGCCCATACAAATGAGGATCTGCCTCCATTGGGTTAGCGCGACTACCTTCCCCGTGATTTCTAGTAGCCATGACATTTCTATCATCTGACCTAGAAATTGCCCTCCTCCTACCCGTCCTGAGAATCTCAAACAATAACGTAAAAACTATACTAATTCTAATTTCATTATTACCTAGAAGCTTATGAACGAATTGAAAAAGGACCGAAATGAAGTGACTACGACAATCGGTTTACATTAAAACGCTGACTTTTACTAAGTTACGATTAACGCCACAGTTACCACCTACGCCTGGCTTGCGCCAGGCCCAGCTCCTTCTCAGCGGCCCCTCCGGGCCCCCCGCTGTGGCCCGCTGCGCCCCGCCCCCGCCATCACCGCCCCGCCCCC